GGACACCTCCAGAGTTTGCCCCTTCGCAGGTAAAGCTTTGATCAATAAAGTTCCATCTTAAATTCCTGAAAGTTTCCAACCATTTGTTGCTCATGTTGGTGGATACTACAGTAACATGGAAGTGAGAAATTTGAGGAGTCCAGGAAAAGCAGATCCCTAAACTAAAGGAGGCAGAGATGGATGTTTTAAGTTTCGCTTCCCAGATTGTAACATTCCTTCTTCAGTTGTTGTGAGGCCCCTTGGTCTCTCTTGTTTTCCTTTTCTGCCAGATCATGGGTACCACTCACCTCCCACCCACCAGGGGTCCTGGGAGACGTCATTGAATGGACTCTGCGTATATGGAATAAATGTGACGTGTTCTAGAGGAATGGGTTTGTCTTTTTCTGTTTGTCTTTTTAATTCACATTAATGATACTGCTCTATAACTCCTGCTGCTGCTTATGCATTTCCCTCTGCACCATATTTTTTAAAACTCTCTTCATTACCCACTTGGACTCTCCCTTTGGCACTAGCTGTTCTTGCCCATCGTTCTGGCGTGCTGCTGCACGGATTTGGGAAAGCTTTCTCTGGGCCTTTTCACAGGCAGGGTGCACCCTGGGACCCAAAATCAGCTTAGCATGATGGGAGTTGAAAGATAAATACCTACACGTTCTACCTGCTCGGGTGGAACTGCTCTGAGGCATGAACCACATTGACACTGCCTCCTGATGTCTCCAGTGGGATTTAGCTCCCAGTGTCCACTGAGGTCACCTGCACCAGGAACCCTTCACTCACTCTCAAACCATCCTGGCCTCTGCCTGTCCCACTCCTGTGCTGGGATATCTTAAATCAACTCCCAAATAAGCTATTTAAACAAAGGCAACCCCTCATCACCAGGTCTGGTTTTAGAGGAAACCAAACTGGGGCCATTTAACTTAGCAGAACCACTGGTGAAGGAACCTCAGGTACAATCAATCAGCTTCTGGTCACTACAGACACCAGTGTGATGAGTACTTTCCTATAGGTGCCTTGTCAATGGACACCAGAGCTTTACAAGGATACACACCACAGATGGGACATACTGGGCAACAGGACATCGGTGTGCTTGATTTCACTGAGCCTGACTGTCATCTTGTGCATTCCTGCTTTCCTCATATCCTGGTTGACACTTTCTGTTAGCAACCTTCAATGCCCATTCGTCTCATGTGTCCAAGGTGATAGTTCAGTGTTGTTTCAATTGGCACTTCTTGGATGACCGGTGAGTTTGAGCAGCTCTTTGCATTCCCACTGACCCTCTCAGCTTCTTCTTTGTGAAGAAAATGGCAAGGTGTTGAGGAAGCACTCTGCTGCCGTGGTCACCAGGACACAGCAGAGATAGAGCTAGGACTGCAGAGCAGATCTTGCTAGAAAAACATTGCAGGGAGAAAATATAATCCCAGAATGCAGCTTCGGGGCTGGACCATTTTGGAACAAAGCACGGGAATGGGATTGTTCAGTGAATGTGGGTATTGTCCTATTGATTGGTAGAAATTTAGTACTTGGCAAGAAAATCCAAGATAAATGCATGATTCTGAAAATGCTACTATCATTTTAGCTAAAGGAACAAAGGTCCACAAGAACCTCCACCAGAAACTGTCAGAGGAACCTGAGATCCTGAGTCTTGAGGTTAAAGCAGAGTCAGACCTGAGTCACAGGTCCTGGCCACTGAGGGCTGTGAAAGCTGAGATCATATGGCTGGGACTTTCGTGGGCTTCAGGACCACCATCTCCAACAGAATGGCTCTTCCATCGTTCAGGCTAAAAGCTGACTACTTCCTGTGGAAGGACAGCAGAACTGGGAAACACTTGAACTGCCACTGAGCCCTGTCCTCACCACAGAGGCGACAGAGAGAGAGAAGTAAACTAGCAGGGGTAATAATGATAACGTGAAGGGAAGTTCTCTCAGTTCCAATATGAGGAAGTTGTAAACTTCACGGGCATACTCCTTTAATAAAATAATAATCAGGTGGAAGGCCAAGATGGAGGCATAGGTCGACACACTGTACCTCCTTGCACAACCAAGTTTTTGAACAACAAATATTTAAATACCACAACAGAGAGAAAATTGAACTGTACCAATGTTCGAGAGCAACAAACCATTCAGCCAGAATGGTAAAAGGGGCAGAAACAGCAGCTGGCAGAGATGGGTAGTGCGAGAAAATGTGGCCAGAGCAGCCCAGGCATGCAGGCAGCAGTTGGCAGATCCCAGGTGTGCGGTGGCAATGGGTGAACCCAGTGAGGGCGCAAGGCAGCTGGCTGACCCTGGTCACACATTCACACACAGATAAACTAGGCAGAGGAGTGAGCAGTGAAACAGACTGAGCAATCCAGGGCCCCAGCGCTGGGAATTAAAGCCTAAAAGCACCAATTGGAAAAAACTTTCGGGCAGTGGAGGTGCTGGGAGAGGCTCCCAGGCTCACAGAGAATTTGTTGGAGAGACCCACAGGGTCCTGGAGGGTACACAGACCCACACACCTGGGAAACAGCACCAGAAGGGCCCGATTTGCTTGTGGGAAACAGCACAGGAGACTGAAATCTGAGAGAGAGCAGAAAAAAATGCCATTGCCCCTCTCTGACCCCACCCCCACATACAGTGTCACAACCCAGCAACTTGGGTAGCCCTGCCCTGGTGAACAGATAAGGCTCTGCCCCTCATATGTAACAAGCACAAACAGACCGAAACATTATGGCTCAAAAAGAAGAACAGCTCAAAGACCCAGAGCCAATACTTCTAAGTGACCAAGAGATAGCCAACCTATCAGATGCATAGTTGAAAACACTAGTGATCAGGATTCTCACAGAACCGGTTGATTTTAGTCGCAAATTAAATGAAAAAATGAAGGCTTTGCTAAGTGGAATGAAGCAAAATGCACAGGGAACCCATAGTGATGGGAAGGAAACTGGGACTCAAATCAAAGGAGTGGACCAGAAGGAAGAAAGAAACAACCAAACAGAAAAGAATGAAGAAACAAAAATTCAAAAGATTGAAGAGAGGCTTAGGAACCTCCAGGATATCTTTAAATGTTCCAACATTCGAATTATAGGGGTTACAGAAGGGGAAGAGGAACAGCAACAAGTGGAAAACTTATTTGAACAAATATTAAAGCAGAACTTCCGCAATCTGGCAAAGGCAATAGACTTCCAGAAAGCTCAGAGAGTCCCAAAGAAGTTGGACCCAAGGAAGAACACACCAAGGCACATCATAATTATATTAGCCAAGATTAAAATGAAGAAGAAAATCCTAGAAGCAGCAAGAGATAAGGGGACAGTCACCTACAAAGGACTTCCCATCAGACTGTCAGCTGATTCCTCAAAAGAGACCTTACAAGCAAGAAGGGGCCGGAAAGAAGTATTCCAAGTCATGAAATCCAAAGACCTACAAATAGATTGCTCTGTCCCTCAAAGCTTTCATTTAGAATGGAGGGGCAGATAAAGTGCTTCTCAGATAAGGTCAAGTTCAAGGAGTTCATCATCACCAAGCCCTTATTATATAAAGTGTTAAAGGAACTTATCTAAGAAAAAGAAGATAAAAAATATGAACAGTGAAAGGACAGCAAACTCACAATTATTAACAACCACACCTAAAACAAAAGCAAACTAAGAGGACATCTAGATCAGGAGCAGAACCATAGAAATGAAGATCCCATGGAGGGCTAGCAACAAGGGAGGGGGAGAAGGAGAAGGGGGGAGAAGGTACAGAAAATAAGTAGCATAGATGGTAGGTAGAAAATAGATAGGGGGGAGGGCAAGAATAGTATGGGAAATATAGAATCTAAAGAACTTGAGACACGTGGTCATAAACTAAAGGGGGGAATGTAGGGGGAGGGGGTGTGCAGGTTGGAGGGGAATGAAGAGTGGAAATAGAACAACTGTAATGGCATAATCAATAAAATATATTTTAAAAGAAGAATCATGTAGAAAAGCATTAGCTGTGTCACTCTCCTGGTGCTTAACCACATGCTACTGTCTGCTGGGTGAAGCCTCGTCTAGAGAACTACTGGGGAGCAATGTCATGTCTCATTCTCTCTGTACAATTCTAACCCTGCATTGTACATGTGGGCTTTTTGTAAAAACTGGTATTGGATGTTGGACACATGCTGGTTGAATTTAATAAAAACTATTTTCTCAGTTGTCTGTGGGCGCCACTAGCCCCCCATGGCAAAGCCAGGGGGTCAGGACTAGCCGGCATAGCCACTGCTCCTGGAGATGTGTCGTAAGCCCCCCTTGGCAAAGCCGGGGGGGGGGGGGGGGGGGGGCAGGGCCAGCTGGCAAGGCCGCTGCCCGGTGGCACAGTTCCTCTCCACCTTGCTTGGCTCCCTGCCTGGAACCTGCTGTGGGTAGACAATAGGTTTCCCAAGAACTTATTGGCATAAGATAGACAGCCTGTTTCCCTGTAGAAGGGTAGGTCATGCACCGGTGCTTGATAAACAGGGAAGTTTTGATAGCACCCTGTGTTCCCCTGTTGTTCCGTAGAGTAGCTTTGCAGAAAGGACAAAGAAACTGGCTTGGGTACGGCCCCCTCCTGCTTATTCCCCATAATTGTAATAAAAGCCTTGAATAAACGGAGTTCGGGGCTCAGCGGGATGCTGAGACCTCTCCAACCTGACTCCCTGCGTCCTTGACTCATTTCCGCCCCCTCCCCTCTCCTGGCGAGGCTGGTCCGCGGCAGTTGTCCATTTCCTGAGCCATGGGTAAACATTTTTTATGAATTCAACATTCAACCAGTGTGGAAGTTATTCTAGCAAAAATGGCAATTTTCTTGCAAGAAAACCATAGGCCATCCTTCAAATACCTTTACTATTATTAATTTTGAAAAGATGTGTGGTTCTGTGTTCTTTGAAATGTTGTCTAACTACAAATCACAGAACACCTCTTAAATACAGCAGCGGATTTCAGACTTCATACATTGATCACCAGTAAATTTGTCTCTGAAACTGACCTACAAGTCATGGAAAGAGTCATTCTCAGAGGAAAAAAAGTGATCTAAATACACATGCTGCTTTTTTAAAGGTTGAAATGATTTAATATGTAGAATTTGCTTTAATATCTCATAGGGTCATTGAGAAAATATGAGAGATAGGTTTACCAGTGGAAAGTTGGTACAATCGGTGATCCTAGAGGTTAATTATTTTATTCTCTCTACTTTTATATATAGTTGATTTCTATAATAAGTTTCACTATATAATACCCAATACTGAAGATCATCTCTACTGATTACTCTAAATGGTGAAAAATTTATCACCATGTTTGGGCACAAGATTTCCCTCCAAGGAAATATTAAATATATTTTTCAGCTCTTCTCCTATTTCTTCTTCATTCAGTGTCTTAAACTCCACCAAATCCACATTGTCCTTATAATTGAATTTTCTAGAGGTAAGGGTGAAGCCCACTAAACAGTGAACCCCCTCTGGGGTCTGCAAGGAACAAAACGACTTGCTTGTAAGCACAGACGCTGGAGACGTCTGAAGGTATTCATTCACAGACTCAAAATCTTCAATTGTTCGAGGCTCGAGAGTAAAGGAGTAGAGCTTTTGGTACTTCTTCTTTTCCAGGAGATCAGAATTAAGAAATTCTTGATTTGGAATGTACTGCTCTCTTCTGATTTGGTCCAGGAACCAGGTTCCTCTCTCTTCGGTCAAGCGGAAGATGCAAGGCACCTGAGGCTGATCCTTCCCGGAAATTAGCTCCAGAGGTTGCCACATCTGGTAAGAGCGTCCAAACCCAGCATCAACTATGTAGTGTCTGCCATCCACGGTGACCTTCAGCAGAAGGTGCATCATAGCACTGCTATACTTGTTGTCTGGAGGGTTGTACACGTAGCCTCCCAACATCGTGGTCTGGAAACCCATGGTGGTCAGAGCCCAGTACAGAAGGTGATTGACCTGGAGGCACCACCCACCCCGCTTCCTCCTCACCACTTGATCAAAAGTGGCCTCCAAGCCCAGTTCCATGGGCTTCCCACAATGGATGTTAAGGTTCTCGAAGGGAATGGTCCAGATCTGGTGCTGAAGAATGTCAGTTAATGTTTCCAGGTCCAATTTGCTCCTGGACTTCTTATAACCAATTCTTTCAAAATATGCTTCAATGTCCATGATCGCCTAAGGCAAGGAAAATAAAAGCAAGAGCACATCCTGTTACCTTTGCACTTGGATTTCTAATTATAATTCATGAATTTTAAATATCTAAATACAAGCAGGGGTGATGAATATCTGCAACGTAAGTCTTTTGATTACTACTTTCATTGTATTAATTGCTTTCACAAGCTTAAGTTCACTTACTAGTCTCAGTAACCCTTTACAGAAAGTATTATCACTGGTTCCCTGTATTAAACATTAGAAGCTGTAAATCCAGATTAAATGATGAGCAAAGTAATAAGTAGTTTATATGTGGTTTTGTTAGTAATAAATTTTAAAAAGTTCAGATTGGTGTCAGTTAAAATAGTATTTACACCCTGGCTGGTGTGGCTCAGTGGAATGAGCACCCACATACGTGGTTACGTGTGGTGGCGCTCCCCAAGAAACAACATCTTAAAAAAAAAACATTAAAAAAATTCAATTATAGAAAGGGCGGACTGCCACCTCCTGTCCCATTAAAGATTTATATTTATCCCCTCATTGATTTATTGAATCACTCAATAAAAAGTTTATGAAAATCTATTATGTATTTTCTAGTGATACTTGCTGGCTCTCAGCAATCTTGCATTTCAGTATGGGTGGGGATGGCACAGATAGTCAACTGAATAAATAAATAAAACATGCTATTTCTCAGAATGTGATGAGTGCTCTGGGAAAACTACAGCAAACAAAGAAGATGTGCACACAGTGAAATTTAATTTCAAATACAGCAGTCAAAGCAACCCTCACTATGACCTGTAGGCTGTGATAGTTAGTTACGGTCGCACATGCAGGAAAGACCACATAGGCAGAAACAATAGGAAGTTTTAAAAAGCCTTAACGTGGAAACCTGGGTGATCAGAGCACAGTGAGGGGGATGCAGTGTGGACCGAGATAAAATCAGACAGGTAAGGGCAGCCTTAAAACCAATTCTGTTGTCTCTTGCTCCGGGACGAGAAGTCACTGTGAAAATGCTGCAGTTTGGGCAAAGTGCACCATGGTCAGACTGGCTGACCATGTGCAAGTGGCACAGGGATCTGGATCTGTGTCTCAGGGCCTGATTCTTGGAACCTGACTCCAGTGAGACCTACCGGTGGTCCTCTGAGATCTGTGTGAACAGATCTAAGAAGAGATACACGGAAAACTTCCAGAGGGCCTGGAATGTTGTGTGAAAGAGGCCTGCTTTTTCCTGCAGATCGTCTGACAGATCCTTGGTATGCTCTTGAATGGTCAATATTCAACTGTTGAACTGACTGCTGCAATTTGTCCTTAGCAGCATGGTACTCCAATTCAAATTGCCTTATTGGAGGAACTCTTAGAGAAGAGACTGAGATGCCAAATTCATTCCTAACTTCTGGAAGCCCTTCCCTCCAAGCCTCCCTCCAGGGAAGGAAAATTCCCCCAGGAATTCCCTCCAACTTTGCAGACAACCTGCCCCCCTCCCTTTGGGATTATTGCAGAAATTCTTGTCAGCTACTGTGGAGGGAGCAGGGATGGTTACAAACCCCCTGCTGCCAGGACTAACCGAGCCCCTGGGACACCCTGAGTTGGGACAGAGGAGGTGGACCTCACTGTTTCCATAATCTGACAAGGAAATCCAGTTCCCTGACACACATTATTCACACAGCTGGTTTTATACACTCTGTAATCCTCACAACCACCTTTTAAGTAAGCTCTCTAATTAGCTCCATGTCACTGACAGATAAACTGACTTGTAGAGCTGCTGGGTGGCCTGCCCAAGTCCCCACAGCTGAGTGTGGTGTGGCTGTGACTCTAACCCACAGGGTGTGCATCCAGGGTCCGCTACCCTCACAGCTGTACAGCCCTTACAGCTGTGCAGCCCCTACAGCCTAAGGACTCAAAGCAGGTGTCAGCCACACCTTCTGAACCAACTCTGAACTTGCAATTCAGACACACAATAGTGTCTAGCCTCCTAGACTCACATCTGAGGTAGGATTAAGCCCCAATTTCAAAGCATGAAAAGTCACTCACCAAGTTCCACCAGGACCCACACCAGGAACTAAACCGACTTCACTCCTCGCACTGGAGCCAACATAGGAAGTGCTCTCATTGGCTTTCCATTGCCCCTCCCCAGAAGTCCACTTGGAATCACCCAGGGATCTCTGGGAAATGTAGTTGTGGGGCCTAAGGTCATCCTTGTGCACCTCCTCTTCAAATCTGCTCAGCAGAGAAGAAGGGCACTATGTTATCTGAGGAGCCCCTGTCACAGCCTGAGAGGGGTATGACCTCATATATGAGTATTTGACACAGTCCTCACCTTAGGGACCCTGAAGCCAGACACCCTATTTGTGATGTTAGGCCTGGAATTAGATAAAAGTAGCCAAGAGGAACAAGGAATCCGAGGCAGGCTCTGAACTCAGCAAGGAAGATAGAAAATACAGAAAGTAAAGAGTGCTGTACAAGATAACCGCCTGTGCATGACCTTGTCTTTGCAGAAGAGTATCCACTGCTGCAAGCAGAAAGCATAGCCATGTGTGTTCCCTCGAGATACCCAATCGCTAACGGCTTCGTTTGCTTCTGTATTTGCTTGCTTGCTCACCCCAATAAAAACCCTAGGCTGTAAGCGCCAGGCGCGACTCTCATTTGCAGCCATTTTGGCACCATGTCTCTGGACACCTCCAGAGTTTGCCCCTTCGCAGGTAAAGCTTTGATCAATAAAGTTCCATCTTAAATTCCTGAAAGTTTCCAACCATTTGTTGCTCATGTTGGTGGATACTACAGTAACATGGAAGTGAGAAATTTGAGGAGTCCAGGAAAAGCAGATCCCTAAACTAAAGGAGGCAGAGATGGATGTTTTAAGTTTCGCTTCCCAGATTGTAACATTCCTTCTTCAGTTGTTGTGAGGCCCCTTGGTCTCTCTTGTTTTCCTTTTCTGCCAGATCATGGGTACCACTCACCTCCCACCCACCAGGGGTCCTGGGAGACATCATTGAATGGACTCTGCGTATATGGAATAAATGTGACGTGTTCTAGAGGAATGGGTTTGTCTTTTTCTGTTTGTCTTTTTAATTCACATTAATGATACTGCTCTATAACTCCTGCTGCTGCTTATGCATTTCCCTCTGCACCATATTTTTTAAAACTCTCTTCATTACCCACTTGGACTCTCCCTTTGGCACTAGCTGTTCTTGCCCATCGTTCTGGCACGCTGCTGCACGGATTTGGGAAAGCTTTCTCTGGGCCTTTTCACAGGCAGGGTGCACCCTGGGACCCAAAATCAGCTTAGCATGATGGGAGTTGAAAGATAAATACCTACACGTTCTACCTGCTCGGGTGGAACTGCTCTGAGGCATGAACCACATTGACACTGCCTCCTGATGTCTCCAGTGGGATTTAGCTCCCAGTGTCCACTGAGGTCACCTGTACCAGGAACCCTTCACTCACTCTCAAACCATCCTGGCCTCTGCCTGTCCCACTCCTGTGCTGGGATATCTTAAATCAACTCCCAAATAAGCTATTTAAACAAAGGCAACCCCTCATCACCAGGTCTGGTTTTAGAGGAAACCAAACTGGGGCCATTTAACTTAGCAGAACCACTGGTGAAGGAACCTCAGGTACAATCAATCAGCTTCTGGTCACTACAGACACCAGTGTGATGAGTACTTTCCTATAGGTGCCTTGTCAATGGACACCAGAGCTTTACAAGGATACACACCACAGATGGGACATACTGGGCAACAGGACATCGGTGTGCTTGATTTCACTGAGCCTGACTGTCATCTTGTGCATTCCTGTTTTCCTCATATCCTGGTTGACACTTTCTGTTAGCAACCTTCAATGCCCATTCGTCTCATGTGTCCAAGGTGATAGTTCAGTGTTGTTTCAATTGGCACTTCTCGGATGACCGGTGAGTTTGAGCAGCTCTTTGCATTCCCACTGACCCTCTCAGCTTCTTCTTTGTGAAGAAAATGGCAAGGTGTTGAGGAAGCACTCTGCTGCCGTGGTCACCAGGACACAGCAGAGATAGAGCTAGGACTGCAGAGCAGATCTTGCTAGAAAAACATTGCAGGGAGAAAATATAATCCCAGAATGCAGCTTCGGGGCTGGACCATTTTGGAACAAAGCACGGGAATGGGATTGTTCAGTGAATGTGGGTATTGTCCTATTGATTGGTAGAAAATTACTACTTGGCAAGAAAATCCAAGATAAATGCATGATTTTGAAAATGCTACTATCATTTTAGCTAAAGGAACAAAGGTCCACAAGAACCTCCACCAGAAACTGTCAGAGGAACCTGAGATCCTGAGTCTTGAGGTTAAAGCAGAGTCAGACCTGAGTCACAGGTCCTGGCCACTGAGGGCTGTGAAAGCTGAGATCATATGGCTGGGACTTTCGTGGGCTTCAGGACCACCATCTCCAACAGAATGGCTCTTCCATCGTTCAGGCTAAAAGCTGACTACTTCCTGTGGAAGGACAGCAGAACTGGGAAACACTTGAACTGCCACTGAGCCCTGTCCTCACCACAGAAGGGACAGAGAGAGAGAAAAGTAAACTAGCAGGGGTAATAATGATAACGTGAAGGGAAGTTCTCTCAGTTCCAATATGAGGAAGTTGTAAACTTCACGGGCATACTCCTTTAATAAAATAATAATCAGGTGGAAGGCCAAGATGGAGGCATAGGTGGACACACTGTACCTCCTTGCACAACCAAGTTTTTGAACAACAAATATTTAAATACCACAACAGAGAGAAAATTGAACTGTACCAATGTTCGAGAGCAACAAACCATTCAGCCAGAATGGTAAGAGGGGCGGAAACAGCAGCTGGCAGAGACGGGTAGCGCGAGAAAATGTGGCCAGAGCAGCCCAGGCATGCAGGCAGCAGTTGGCAGATCCCAGGTGTGCGGTGGCAATGGGTGAACCCAGTGAGGGCGCAAGGCAGCTGGCTGACCCTGGTCACACATTCACACACAGATAAACTAGGCAGAGGAGTGAGCAGTGAAACAGACTGAGCAATCCAGGGCCCCAGCGCTGGGAATTAAAGCCTAAAAGCACCAATTGGAAAAAACTTTCGGGCAGTGGAGGTGCTGGGAGAGGCTCCCAGGCTCACAGAGAATTTGTTGGAGAGACCCACAGGGTCCTGGAGGGTACACAGACCCACACACCTGGGAAACAGCACCAGAAGGGCCCGATTTGCTTGTGGGAAACAGCACAGGAGACCGAAATCTGAGAGAGAGCAGAAAAAAATGCCATTGCCCCTCTCTGACCCCACCCCCACATACAGTGTCACAACCCAGCAACTTGGGTAGCCCTGCCCTGGTGAACAGATAAGGCTCTGCCCCTCATATGTAACAAGCACAAACAGACCGAAACATTATGGCTCAAAAAGAAGAACAGCTCAAAGACCCAGAGCCAATACTTCTAAGTGACCAAGAGATAGCCAACCTATCAGATGCATAGTTGAAAACACTAGTGATCAGGATTCTCACAGAACCGGTTGATTTTAGTCGCAAATTAAATGAAAAAATGAAGGCTTTGCTAAGTGGAATGAAGCAAAATGCACAGGGAACCCATAGTGATGGGAAGGAAACTGGGACTCAAATCAAAGGAGTGGACCAGAAGGAAGAAAGAAACAACCAAACAGAAAAGAATGAAGAAACAAAAATTCAAAAGATTGAAGAGAGGCTTAGGAACCTCCAGGATATCTTTAAATGTTCCAACATTCAAATTATAGGGGTTACAGAAGGGGAAGAGGAACAGCAACAAGTGGAAAACTTATTTGAACAAATATTAAAGCAGAACTTCCCCAATCTGGCAAAGGCAATAGACTTCCAGAAAGCTCAGAGAGTCCCAAAGAAGTTGGACCCAAGGAAGAACACACCAAGGCACATCATAATTATATTAGCCAAGATTAAAATGAAGAAGAAAATCCTAGAAGCAGCAAGAGATAAGGGGACAGTCACCTACAAAGGACTTCCCATCAGACTGTCAGCTGACTCCTCAAAAGAGACCTTACAAGCCAAGAAGGGGCCGGAAAGAAGTATTCCAAGTCATGAAATCCAAAGACCTACAAATAGATTGCTCTGTCCCTCAAAGCTTTCATTTAGAATGGAAGGGCAGATAAAGTGCTTCTCAGATAAGGTCAAGTTCAAGGAGTTCATCATCACCAAGCCCTTATTATATAAAGTGTTAAAGGAACTTATCTAAGAAAAAGAAGATAAAAAATATGAACAGTGAAAGGACAGCAAACTCACAATTATTAACAACCACACCTAAAACAAAAGCAAACTAAGAGGACATCTAGATCAGGAGCAGAACCATAGAAATGAAGATCCCATGGAGGGCTAGCAACAAGGGAGGGGGAGAAGGAGAAGGGGGGAGAAGGTACAGAAAATAAGTAGCATAGACGGTAGGTAGAAAATAGATAGGGGGGAGGGCAAGAATAGTATGGGAAATATAGAATCTAAAGAACTTGAGACACGTGGTCATAAACTAAAGGGGGGAATGTAGGGGGAGGGGGTGTGCAGGTTGGAGGGGAATGAAGAGTGGAAATAGAACAACTGTAATGGCATAATCAATAAAATATATTTTAAAAGAAGAATCATGTAGAAAAGCATTAGCTGTGTCACTCTCCTGGTGCTTAACCACATGCTACTGTCTGCTGGGTGAAGCCTCGTCTAGAGAACTACTGGGGAGCAATGTCATGTCTCATTCTCTCTGTACAATTCTAACCCTGCATTGTACATGTGGGCTTTTTGTAAAAACTGGTATTGGATGTTGGACACATGCTGGTTGAATTTAATAAAAACTATTTTCTCAGTTGTCTGTGGGCGCCACTAGCCCCCCATGGCAAAGCCAGGGGGTCAGGACTAGCCGGCATAGCCACTGCTCCTGGAGATGTGTCGTAAGCCCCCCTTGGCAAAGCCGGGGGGGGGGGGGGGCCAGGGCCAGCTGGCAAGGCCGCTGCCCGGTGGCACAGTTCCTCTCCACCTTGCTTGGCTCCCTGCCTGGAACCTGCTGTGGGTAGACAATAGGTTTCCCAAGAACTTATTGGCATAAGATAGACAGCCTGTTTCCCTGTAGAAGCGTAGGTCATGCACC